CGATTCCCTCTCGGTCCAGGGTTTCCTTGATTTTACGTTTATTTAAGTGCGCTAGAGCGTCGTGAGCGGCTTTCAAGCTTACCATGGCCTTGGTACTATAGCTTAGAGTCTGCAGACATTTGGGCTCACTTCTGTCGATGTTGAGGACGTACAGTCCTTCCTTACATTCGGCTGTCGCTCTACCCTGACCGGTGGAGATGAGAGTCCTCTCGGGGTTTATTGAAACCTTGTAACCATTTTCTGTCAATTTGCTAACAGAGATGAGGTTTGTATTCATTTTCGGAACATAGAGAGCGTCACAAAGCTTGATGTTCACGTACTTGTTTCCTCGGCGGACAGTCAGCAAAGCGTCACCATACCCTTGTGCCGTGAGGGTACTGTTGTTGCCAAGCTTGACTTCTCGAGATGTCGTCGCGGAGTTTAGTTTCGTGAAGAAGCTCTGGTCGTTGAGCACGTGATGTGAGCTGCCGGAGTCGACAACAAATTGCACCTGTGTGGTTTTTGCACTACCCTTTTCTTCAGTTGAGTCTCCATTCGTGAGGAAGACTTTTGCCACGTGCGCCTCCGGTTTACCTGGTACCCACGCAGAGGACCGAAACTCGACACGGCCGAAAACCCATACGGCCGAAAACTCCAAGGGGCCGAAGACCCATGAGTCCGAAAACCCATGCGGCCGAAAACCCATGCGGCCGAAAACCAATGCTGCCGGAAACCCATGCGGCCGAAAACTCATGCGACCGAAAACCTGTAGGGTTGAAAACCCTTTCGGCCGAACGCTCATAGGGCCGAATGAGCATAGCACCGAACGGCCGTGAGGTCGGGCACAGGACTAGCCAGGAAGCGTCACCTTTTGGGACTTGCTTGCCCTGCGTAAGCTCACCTTCTCGGCATGATCTGCTATTCCTAACGCGATTTGGTGCCATTCGGTCAAGCTCCACGGATGGGAGCGGCATCCGGGAGGCTTTATATGAATGAATCCTCGCTTGATAGGTGGAATAAGGAGCAATGTATTCAATATTTGACCAGAAGAGCGTCGCAGGATTATTCATGTCTTGACCGATACTCTCCAATTGGATCTGAGCAGAAAATTTTGATTACGACTTATAAGTATATCGATCGATATGCACATAATCAAAGTAGCATTTCTAGCTTTCACACGGAGTAGAGAAGCATCAATCGGTCGATGAATATCTATGCAAATTAAGATTGAGCAAGATTGTGATTTCATGTCGTGATCGCATCTGGAAGATTGTAGGCAGCGCTGAACAGATATTCTTTCAGCTCTACCTCGCCCCTTTCCAACTGGAGCATCAGGCGGGACAATCAATCATTCAGTATCTTGTACTTTCTCTTAGGAGGCCTCGGCGGATTTCCAGCATCCAGCAAGACTCTCTGCAGCCGCTGGTCGTGCTCCTCTTTTTTGAGGTGCGAAATCAGCTCGTATATGTTAACGTGAGCGCTCTTGATTTTTTTGTTCAGGGAACTATGCCATCCCTCAAGATGATTAGTCGTGCGTACTCCAAGGTTCCCGTGGTGATTCCAAAGGCTGCGCGGGAATATTGTGTCGTTATCCATCCATGTTCTGATGAAGTAATCTTTGAACCGGACCAGCTTTTCATGGCCAACGAAGCCTACACCTGGAGATTCGGCTTCCACTTCCAGCCAGGCGTCGTCGAGGCGGTGGAGCGGCACGAGGCTCAGGGCCATCACTCCTTTGATGTACCTGAGACAAGCGCCTATGTCATTACGTCCTCAGGATCCGTGCGCTCGATAAGTTAGCAAAGCAAAGGGACTGTGACCGTGAGATCGATCAGTGGAAAGGATGTGGGGACTGACCTCTCGAGAGCTGGATCGCTTCCATAGAGCCCAGACAATCCTTCATGCTGGACTTTTCTCCACAACGCTTGCGTGAAGTGGAAATTGCAGCCGCGTATTTCGGCCATCGGGAAGATTTCTTCGATCGCTCGTAGGACCGCAATCTCAAAGTCGACCTGGAATTTCGGAGGGTGGAAGCTGAAGCCTGCTCTGGCAGCGCATTGCCTCAGTAGATTGAATGCCCGGCAGTACGTGTTCATGGTCTTGTCCGGCATTAGGATATAGACGAGGGGCATCATCTGGCCCTTGTAAAAGGCGTGTAGACTATATAATTGCAGAAACACGGACGGAACAACGCGAAATGTTCCGTCCATATAAACTGTTGAGGCCTCAGACAGGATCCGTACGCATTCTTCCGTTCCAAAGCCGAGAATCCGGTCTTCTCCGCCGTCATCAAAAAGCAAGAAATTCTGCCCGCTGGAGGTTTGGGACCAGATTCCAGTGAGAGAAATCTCAGCCCGATTCGCGGGCATGGGGGGGCGCACGGTCGCTTTGTGCCGCTGGAGGGTTGTCCGAACATTATTATAGGTCGGCATCGCTGCCGCTATCTTTCGGATATCGTGGGACCCTTGCAACTTTCCGAAGTGTTCGGCCAGGACCTCATTGTAGACTTCATTCGTCGATTGGCTCGGCCGATCCACAGTTTTCTCTTTCATGTCAGAAACGGTCTTTGCGGTCGCATCAAATCCATAGCTTCTCCCGTATGATTATGAATGCCATTCTCAGTCGCGTGCACAGGCTCTGACATCTGAAGGAAATGCATATGGAATGTAAAGAAGACAGTCTCTGTACAGGGCACATGCAGCACATCACTCTGCACATCAAGTGCAGCCTTCATGCACGGTATCTTTTCATGGGAAGAACTGCCAAGCTTCGACCTCGGAGCTAGAACTTCCGACGGAAAGGCCTAGGACGACTGTCCAGCGCTCTCATGACTTTCTTCACGCTCAGCCCTTCATTATCTCAGTGGACAGAGACTATAAAAAGAAGGCAGGGGTCTCAGGGGGATATCACGCTCATATGAATCTATCCCAACTCCCAGAATCGTCGATATGAGACCGTGAAGTTCGAATTCGAGAGCTGTGTAGTGACCCCACCTGATCAGAACGCTCCTTCATCATTCATCATATATGGGATGCTTCTTCGCGTCCAAATGTGCCCAGAATGACCCTGTCTTTTATCTTTAACCCTGTCTTTTTCAAAAACTCACCTTGTCGACGATTGCTCTCGCGCCGCAGTTGTCGCTTTTGCCGCGGATGCATCGGCAGTAAAGTCGCTCGCCTTTGCTTTTATCGACGCAGTACAGATATTCCCCCACGCGGAAGAGTGGGTGTCCCCACGCGGACTTCAGTTCTTCAACATCTATACTCATGTCGATGAGATGATGAGATGAGGATTGAAGTGATGAATCTCCGCTGATGGCTCAAACTTCCTCGTCCTTGATAAAACGGAGGTGCGATCCGGATGCCCAATGCGCAAGCGCGGGATCCCGGAGGTTTCGTTTTGAATTTTGAACTCAATCTTCCCGCCTCATGGGAACAACCACAGAACGACAGTGTTCCGTCCTCAATTAAGATTCAAGTCGACACATCGACTTCTGTCTGACGGATAATCGAGGGGGAATCCCCTGGAATCGGCCGAGATTCCGCACTATTGTCCTTTCGCCCCGCCTCCCCGAAAGTATGAAGAATTCAATTGGAGAAACGACAACGGACCACGGATTCTCGACTTATGAACACATGGCTGTACATTGAACCTGTACATTGAACTTATGGCTTATGGCTGGAGCATCGCGCGTATCCCCAAGAAAAATGGTATAGGTAAATCCCTCAGGCACAGAATGAGGAGGAATAAGTGAGAAAGATAGCAGACAAAGTGCGCACTCCATGCGCTTCATCAGAGGTGGATCGATACCCACGAATCGACCTATGAAGCGAGGATTCAATCGTAATTCTTCAGGGCTCTGATATTCACAGAGGACCGCCGGGACCCACAGGGTATCTCTAAAATCGCAATATCCACGGTACGGCTTTCTGCAATATACTATAGCGCTCTATGTAAGCGCAGCGCAGGAGTAGATCATGCCCAGGAGGTCAGATCACGCAAGGCGAGTCTGTGACGATGGGTGAGGGTGTCTGGCGCAATGACTTTTCGGTCCGATGGGCGCTCGGCGTCATGATTTCTCGGCCTCACGATTGTTCGACGCTATGATCTTTCGGCCCTGTAGACATACGGACCCAAGGCTATCCGGCCTTACGGATTTTCGGCCGTTCGAGTTTTCGGCCGTTCGAGTTTTCGGCCGTACGGATTGTCGGCCGTACGGGTTTCCGGCCGCACGGGTTTCCGGCCGTATGGGTTTTCTGCCGAACGGGCTTTCGGCCGTATGGGTTTTCTGCCGAACGGGTTTTCGGCCGTATGGGTTTTCGGCCACATGGGTTTTCGGCCGTATTGGGTTTTCGGCCGCATGAAGTTTCGGTCCTCTGCGTAGGTACCCCCGAAGCAGGATAGAGCATCCAAAGAGAACTCACGGGGTGGGCTCCATGCCAACTGTCGGACCTGATCGCCGAACAAGAAAGCCCTGCCTTCCGAGGGAAGCCTTGGCTCCCTCATGCATTAATCATATGATATTTGTTCCACAGGTCATGCGGACTTGGTTACTCGAGGCGGAGGCGACGACTGTCTGACGGGATAATGGGGCAGAGGAATCACGGGGGTCTCATCTCATGACCGAAATCGCGATCGGAGTCGCCGTGGGTTTTCATCCCAGGGAGGGGAACACCGCCGAGATTCGTCATCTGGAAGCTCAACCTTCGTTCGCTGCCAGCGGTCGATTCCTCTGGATTCTATTGAGCGATGAATAGCGTACAGGCTGATTGACGAACGGCGTTCTTAGGGAATCGATTCTGGATATGACAAGGTCCGCGTTCTCGTCAATCTGATTTTGAGACTTGCATCATCTAGTGCAAGCCTTGAAGCGAGGAAGACTCCCGAAAGAGAAACCGTCTTGGGAAAAAATTCAGGGAAAATTCCCGGCACGCAATATCAAATGACGCTTGACATGACTGGTTCTAGCTGTCATCGATAGAATGTAGATTACCGTCTCCTAGATGTATATGAAGTAGGGACGGGGAACCGGACAGCAGGAAAATGGGGAACCAAAGAGCTGGGAAACGGGAAACCAGGAGGTAGGAAGATGGGGAACCAAAGAGCAGGGAAACGGGAAACCAGGAGGTAGGAAGATGGATAAGCGGGAGAATGGGAGAATAGGAATGCAGGGAAGCTTGAACATGGGAGTGCGGGGGAACGGAAATAGAATGGACCGGTAGCGGGGAAACGTTGAAATCTCCTCAAATTCCGAAAATCAACAACCGACGCGATGTCCCACGAGCTTGCCCTGGAGAGCCTCAAGCCTCCAGCCAGTGATTTCACTGAGCGGTTTTCCATACGCCGAAGCTCCTTGTGGGCGAGTCCGAATGTATGAATGACCGGTCCCACAGGCTCCATGTATGCGGAAAATCGGTCGTAGACAGATGGAAGGAGGAGACGCCCGAAACTTCCAGCAAAGATCTTTGACATCAGTCTCATCCCTCTCCCATCCAGAGATATTCCGCTTCTGTTCAGTGATTACCGTACTTCTGGCACGGGAATGGTACGGGATTTCGACCACATGTAGGACCGTTATCGGATCTAGGCGTACAGCCTCAAAACCCTTCGAGGAGAGGGGGGCTCTATGACTGCCGGCAGGGGCGCCAGAGTTTGAAAGCCGACCGTACTAGCTGTAAGCTTTGAATAGGTCCAGCGGTTGTGCGACCTGTGACCTCCGTTTGCGGTTGTGACGGTTGTGACAATTGAAGCTTACTATTCCGACCGTAGGCTCGATCAATCGGTGATCCCGCCAGGATATGGAAGTCGGAGACTCGCGAGTTCGCACTCCGCTTGGTGCGAACTGACCCGCATCCAAATGCTGTGCGGTCGGGCGAACCTGGGCCTTGTGTCGAGCTTCTTGGCTGCGATAATCGATCGAGAAAAGCTTGACTAGTATGAGCGAATCCCAATCAGTCAAACGACGTCAGTCCTTGAGTGTGGCGAATTTCGACCTCCGTCTCCGTCAACTTATCGGCAGTAATCGTTCATGAAACATGCTACATATGTAAAGCCGCAGTAGTACTCGGGTGGGCTGGAAATGAAGTATAAGTTTTCGGAGACGCTCCAGGATTTCAAACTCGGAGTTCTGCATTCTAGCTTTTGTCGTGCGAGCTTCCGTCTCAAGCCCTAACAGCCATCCTTCGAAACATTGTACCATGCTTTTCGACAGAAAATGATTTTCCACTATCAGTTTCTGATCGCCTTCCGTGGCGGAGCACCGGTATTAAGCGCTGATGAATAATGATATTGACTCCCCGCTTTCTCTCAGCATGAACGAGGGATAACTCGGATGGATACTCACAACCATAGAGAGGCTACCGAAGAGACTGGGCGGGGGGCTGACACCCGACCTCTCACCCAGTGATGATTCTAGGAGAGGAGATGATCCCTTAGCTTGAGCATTTCTCATGGTAAAGTGAAAGGAACGATCGAGACCAGACGAAGAAAAAATCAAATGAAAATCTTGGTACATTCCATGGAGTGTAAAAAAACCAAATCAAATGAAAATCTTGGTACATTCCATGGAGTGTAAAAAAACCAAATCAAATGAAAATCTTGGTACATTCCATGGGGTGTTCAGGGATCCGAGAGCAAGGGAACTTGGTTCCTTGCATCACCGACGCGGTCGATCACGCGCCCTAAGGGAACCTCACAAGGCGTATCAGCCTTAATATGGCGTTGCGACCTTGAGCATTAGAAAAGAAGGCCTGTTGAGGAGTTTTGATGTGAGGGATTTGCAGAACTCTGAGTCTTGGGGAAAGAGCGTACTGGAACCCTCTCATGCGTGCACATACGTATCTTCGGTGAGAAGCCGCAAGCAAGACCCAAGCTTCCGGCGAGCCCCAGATCCGTTTCTAGCAGGAGCTTGATCCCGTCTAGATTGCTTCGGAAACTCTAGAGGAATTCCCCTCTTGGCTCGAGGAATCTCCCTGACAGAGATCCAGTGCCGTCTCCTGGCGAGAAAGTCCACAGGTGATGTATTCGGCAGTTCTTATAGATCCCGCGGAAAGACAATGGGCCCGCATGCTCTTCGGACCTTGGGCTGATCGGGGTCGCCACCCGTCTATATTTTTCCGCTGCACGGCCACTGCTGTATCACGGAGAGAATCTCGGCGTCGCGGCCGGGCAGGCTTTGGAGGATGATGAAATCCATGTATATTCTCGGAACTACATCCTCTGCCAGCGATGCTGCACAACTCCGTGGTTGGATGAAGACATCCGATTTCCCAAAGTCAAGTGTGAAGCTCTGGCAGCTCTCCGGTACCGTGATCCTTCGCGATGAGCTCCTCCGATGTAATCCAATTCGTAGAAGACGCGAGGCTGTAGATCGAAGTTCACACTTCCTAAGCTACTGTTCCCTATAGGCGAAGGAGCAACGTTCATCTTGAGAGATCAGTTCACTGAATATCATGTATTTACTGATACCGGAGCTTCTTCAGACGCCATCCAAGGGAGTCCGATCGATCTCCTCAAGGGCGAATCCTCGCGGCTCGACATGCTGCGGGCCAGGGCGGTATCGATCGAGATATATGCAGGAACGATCGATATTCGTTGGATTTCCGCGTCGAAAATTCGACTGCCAGATGAATAGGTGTAGTTCTGCTCAGAAGATCCCATCTCCGCTGGAGATCGAACGCATTGCCGGCTTCTATACGGAAGTCCCGAGACTTTCCTCATGAGGTGACCCCTTCTTAAACGAGGTCGGTAGAGGGTTATGACTCAGATTCACCTCCTGAGTCAACCTCAAGGCGAGCATCTAGATTGTCAATGGTCCATAAGAGAGCAACATCGGATTATTCCTGCCGTTGCTTTCGATGCGAAACGTCGAGATGATAGCCAAGCTCTTCCTGACTCGATGAGCGCTCGTGTCTAGCTCGGGAATAGATCCTGGTTTTCATTCCGAGTCTTGCAATGATTGCTCCGTCTTTTAAGGTCACCCACACCGATTCGAAGGTTATAGAAGCACGTACCGTATTTTCTATATTAGTAGGGCCCCTCTTTTTAGAAAAGTACCGTCCAATCGAGGGGCACCTGTGGCTAGATCGGAACATGAACCGACACCCTTCAGCATGCGCGTCTATGGGAGAGCGTACAATTCTGGACTGATTAAGAAATATACGGGCACCCTCTAATGAACGGACGAGATTCGAGGGGAGAAAAAAATGACGCGTATGTTCCTCTAATACAGAAAATACGGTATGCATCTCTGGTTCAACTGGGGGCTTC